GCGATGGATAACAATTCAGTAAAAGTTCATTGTAATAAGGAAAGGAGGTATTACACGTAGAAAAGATGTATACCACGGCACACTAGAACGTTTTATTTATGTGCTGATTTGTCATGTGCCCGATTTTCATGTACTGCAACTTCACAATAAGCTACAAAAAATCGACATGTCTTGCCTCGCCCATCACCTCGACATATTTTTCGGGCTGAAATGAACCTGTGGCTTGATTATATATGCATCATACATATTTAATATGTTCATATACATATCATCTTTGGACAAATGGCAGTAAATTGTCAAAAATAAATGTAAAATTCATAAAAACACCCTACTTTTGGTTTTGCAGCGGCACGGGCTACCTCTCTTAATTTGATTTTTTATATCACAGGTACCCTCTCATTTTTGAACACATAGGTACCCACAAAGCACGACATATGCTTTTATTTGCGTTAATCGTTAAGTATGTATGTAATATTTCTTACTTTTATGTAAATATTACATACTCACTGATTAACGCAAATAAAAGCATATGAAGGTACATATATGAGAGGGTACCGTTTGAGCAGATTTCGCAAAGAGGGTACCGATATTTTTTTTTTTTTTTAACTTTTTTTTTCTTTTGGCGAACAATTTCCATCATGACTGGGAATAAAAACAAATTTTAGAACTTTATATATTCATATCATATTTGCTCCGACAACGGTCGCAAATAGAAAAACGTTATGTTAATTTTTAGCCAAAAAGGGACTCGAAAAATGAGAGTACCTTAAATTAAAACCTAATTTTAGATTTTTACAAAACAAAATTAAAATATGATCAGCAGCTACCTTTCTCATAGAGTTCCAGAACGAAAAGGAAACAGCGGGCTCGCGCATCTCCTTATATATAGTGTTCTAAATATAGCTCTCAGACTGAGCATGCGTATTGATACGCAGTTCTACTGATCGATAGATTAAGAAATGTGTCATTCATGTAAAATAAAAGAGTTTAATCTTGATGTTTAAACTTTGATATTATTTTCCAATGAATGCATTTAGAAAATGCAAGAGAACTTTGGAATAAGGTTGCTGGTTCGAACCCGAGAGGCCATTGTACATCGCAAATCAGTATTATACAAAAAGAAAATACAACAATTTTTGTAATAACCTTTTTATTTTTTTTGGCGAATAATTTCCATCATGACTGGGTATAAAAACAAATTTTAGAACTATATATTATACATATCATATTTGCTCCGACAACGGTCGCAAACAGAAAAACGTTATGTTAAATTTCAGCCCAAAAGGAACTCGAAGAATGAGAGTACAGCTGTACCTTAAATTAAAACCTAATTTAAGATTTTTACAAAAAAAAATTAAAATATGAACATTCAATGTGACACTGTAGTGCCATTTAATGAAAAGCGGCGTATGGTCCCCATGTAAAAGAATGCTTTTGCCCTAAACGAGAAAACAATGGGCGGAACTGAATAAAATGGAATTTGAAAGGGGATCTGAGGTTATGAAGCCTGCATGTCACAGATAAGACGTCAAAAGGCAAATTTAAAAAGCAGGCAACATATCCTAAGGGTGATTATACAGTATTCAAGTAGGAATACTGGAACCACCCAAATAGAAAAAGGCCGAATAGAAGAAACTAAAAGTACCACATATCATGTATTCACAATAATGTCGTGCTGAACGATTTAAACTTACATGACATAAAAGTTATTCTATAATAATGGTACTTAACCATCCTACCTTTTTCAATTATCAAATTTTTGCCTGGCTTTAAAATACAGAATTTGAAATGTGTTTGATTTTGATGGGGTGTTTTTTGTTGGTTTATTTTCTGTTGTTGTTGTGTTGCATTGTATTGTTTTGTAATAATCTATTTCGTTATATGGATAATAAAATGATAAATTACCATTAGCATGTTATGTGGCGATTGTTTTTTTTTAAATTATTTTTTATGTTGTTATGTAATTGTCAACGACATTGTAGTAAATCTATAAATTTACCAAAGACGGTAAAATACAACTGTTATGTAGATATAAACGTTCGGAAGTAAAGCATCGCATTTTTTGCCCAAAAAGAGGTCAAAAACCATATAATTTTAAAAAAACATTAATGCATTCTTATAACAAAAAATCGCTAACAAATAGTGAGAGCCCTTGAAGATGCAAGAAGATATAACTATATCATGTCTCACTGGACCATCGATGGTCGAATTTTCTATAAACAATATCGTAAATCTGGATCACTTTTGGTAAAACACATTGCACAGGTACACATAGATATATGGCCAATCCCAGACATAATCAAGTTTTAAATTGAATGTGAGACCAAAAAAACATTAATAGATCAATATCAACAAGAAACAAAAAAAAAAAACAAAAACAAAAACAAAAAACAAAAAAACTTGGCACTAGGCAAAACAGTTAATTTCTACAAAGTATATATATTTTTTAAATACTATCCTATAGGCACTGTGTTGTTTATTGCCTGCTTATTTAAACGATCTCTATTTTTCTGCGCCGTTGTATGTAAATATTTAACAACTTACATGTATACAAATTACGTGTGAACGTAACTTTTGATGGAGATAACTGTAAACTATATCCCTCCCAAGTTTATCCATAGCAAGCATCATATTGAAATGCTTCATCTGTTTTCATGTTAAATACGTTGTTTTTCAGTATCGTTAGTATTGAAAAATCAAAGTGCATGCAATATAATTTAATTTTGTATTTTTCCCATTTAACACGGTTTATTCTATTTATAGTATTTTATTTATAGTAAAGTAAACGAAGAACTTGATAAAATATCTCGGTCAGCCGTGTACATTACTTGACTAAAGGTATTTGCCCTAATGTAGTGTGGATAAAATGACATAGTGAATTTTAAATATTTGAGGTGTACCTTAAGTATAATAACACACCTTTAAATATTAAATGAAATAGTTTTGTGGCTATGGCAAAAACATGTTATCACTATTGTTTAACTTTTAGTTTCTCTGTTTTCAAATCTTATATTCGGTCAAAAAATTTTCAGTGGCCATATGTATACTCCGTAGGTCTATTCCAAACAGGTTTTTCGTCTGTTATTTTTTATATATTTTGTTTTGCTAAAGAGCTTATCCTCATGTGTTTGTCCTTTTCATCTAAGTTTGCAACTTATATTACGTTTTATTTACTTCAACACAAGCTAAAACATGTAATTAAACTTCCATCTTCCTTAATCTAAGTACTTACTTATCCTTATTTAGTCAGATAGAAACAAGGTAAATACCTTTACAAGAAAATGCAGTGCGTTATATTTCTAAATTTAGATAAAGAAAATTCAGACGGAGTTTGATACACTTTTTAAAGGTGCATTTTATAGATATGTAAAAAATATTTTAGCGTCGGCTTAAAAACCATGCAGTCTACAGTTTTATAAACCTTTTTGACAGCATTTTCTTTAATCTCATTAAGTGGGATTTTTTTAATTATTATTAGTCCCCTACCGGTTTAACCGGAGGGGACTTTAGGTTTACCCTCCGTCCGTCTGTCTGTCTGTCCGTCTGTCTGTCCGTCTGTCAGTCAGTCCGTCCGTCCACAAAACTGGATCCCGCGATAACGAAAAAAGTACTGAAAATATTTTTATGAAACTTGATATATGGATAGATGGCAGTATGGACATTATGCACGTCTTTTTTTTTCTTCCTATGTTGAAAATTCTGGTTGCTATGGCAACAAATAGTCTGAAAATATGGCAAATTTAACACATAAACTGGATCCAGTGATAACTCAAAAAGTACTGAAAATATTTTTATGAAACTTGAAATATGGGTAGATGGCAGTCTGGAGATTATGCATATCTTTTTCTTTTCTTCCTATGTTGAAAATTCTGGTTGCTATGGCAACAAATAGCCTGAATTTCAAGATTTCTGATTTAAATTTTTCAGCTTTTTCACTATAAGTTCTTTATTTCTTAAGGTGTTTACTTCAAACTTTAAATATAAGTTTCTGGCCATCAACCACATCATATGCGACAAGGTTTACAACTCTAGCACAAAAATTATCAGTATTACCTCCCTTGAACTTAGAATTTTTATGAAAAAAAAATGTTGTCTTTTTTAAATAACTTCTTTATTTCCTAATGTATCTACTTCAAACTTCATATATATATTTCTTATTATATCAACATTTTTGAGAAGGTTAAATACTCTAGCAAGACTATTTCCAGAATTATCTCCCCTTTGAACTTGATTTTTTTTCGAGAAATTGGTATTTTTCACTCCAACTTCTTCATTCTTTATAGGATTTACTTTAAAATCCCACATCATAATAATATGACAAGGTTGTATAAATAGAATTTCCTTACTAGGCAGGGAAACTTAACACATTACTGTGATATAGACAAACTTAGAACTCAAAAGATTTAAGTTCATTCATGTCATTCATCCACTGGTAGAATTGAATGGCCAATGGCCCATCAGAATGCTGCTGGGGTTCTAACCGGTAGGGGACTTATGGATTGCTTGCAATACTATGATAATTGCTTGTTTTAAAAGGAAAATCCCCACGGTAACCCTAAAGTTCGTATACGAATTTTAACATGCGATTGAAGACTATATAAGCAGCTCTAAAAGGTGCTAGTCGCATTGATTTGACCAAAAAAATGTTTAATATTGTTATTCATGTTATATCCATATATTAAAAAAAATATATATTCCCTTCGTACATCTGGATCGATTTTCTGCGTTTACCGTTTATCTCTCAGGTCATATTGAAGTTGTATCATTACGTTTATTCTGAGGAGGAAAACATATTTCTACCGTTTCTTTCTGTCTTTCTTTACGCATATTACACATGATATATAGTAAAAGGAAATACATTTTATAAGTGTGCTGATCCTATGGATTGTACCGTTCGAGGTAATAGGGCATGAGCTCGGAAGTCCGCTTTAATTACTTTTACGAGTATATTGGAACCTTACTGATGATGAAATGCTATTTAGAATTTTTTTTTCAGGTTACGGATGGCTTTAAAAACTACTCAAGATAATTCAGGTGTTTGGGATACAGAGCGACATGAAGAGGAACTATTTTCCACATTTAATGAAAGAGAGAAAAATAAAGAATACGAAGACGAAGATGATGCAGATTTGCGACAAACAGAACAGGCCTATTTTGAGTCAGAGGATAAAATAGATGATACGTATTGTGAGATTCAAGACTTGCATGAAGGGCAGGACATAGATTCAGATGAATCAAACTATGAAACAGAGAAACAGCAAAAACATTATGAAAGCAAGGACGAAACTAACAATCAAACACATAAGCAAAGTAACAATGAGCTTAAAGACAGCAGTTGTGTTGACACTCTGGATTGTAATGAGGAAGAAATTAAAAATGAGACTCCAAAAGAACCACATATCTTTAGCCATGAAAATGAATATCATACACAGTCTCCTGTAGAGGATAAAAGAAACGTGGATGCAAGAAACAATGGTTCGCAAATACCAAACTTAAGCATATTTAAGGTCCCATTTCCCATTAAAGATTTAATTGAAAACGCAGCTATTGATTGGAAGCCACATGCTGAAGCAACTGAATATTCTAACCGATGTAATGAAAGAACAGTAGAGCCTACAGAGTTTAGGAAGATATATATCGGCACACTTGAAGTACAAACAGAAATTACCGAGGAAAGATATGATTTCTCGAGTGATGAAACAAATTTGTCCTCTGATATTGACCCCGAGGAGCCAAATCAAAAAGAAGAAATAAATGAGAAATCAATGAAGGAAGGATTGAAAGAAACCACGTGTAGCTATTCCTTGTTCCTGGTTTTTATTGATGTCTTGTTAGTGGTGTTAGGTGTGACCGCACTACTTACCTTTGATATGCAGAGACATCCGTCAAATAATCATCCATCAACCAAGTTGAAGATCTTGTCTGACTTATATAAAGATGATGTTTCTCGGTGTCTTAAGGGTCTTTACAACAATTCATGGCAAAATGATGGTTTCGTGTATGCAGTTGGCGATCGTGGTCGACCGACTTATGTTCCACCAATTCCACCAGACGAACCAGACATACCACAACCAAATATAACCAGCAATGCAACCAGAGATGCGACACAAAATGAATACAACTCTTCAACAACTCCAGCACCAGAACTTGATATAGATGACATCAATAGTCACACATATATCGGTGTGCAAGAACTGAGAATTTGCAGTCTAAATGATGGTAATTCAACAAATCATAATGAAGTTAGAAATGGTGACCCTGGCGATTTTATCAGCCTAAGAAATTTTCGTACTTTAAGACGTGAAAGAGACAGCTCACCAGAGTCCTTACCAAATTTAAGAAATGGCAGCAGTCAGTTTGAGCAAGCTGGTGTCAGTGTTACTACTTTAAAATATCAGGACGATCATTGCAAAATATCTGGTACATCCATTTTGACATGTGTAAGTAGACCTTTTTCTTCGCTTAAAGAATAATATTATAAAAGTATTCTGCATGAGCAAATGTTTGATGTTGATATTGTCTCCAGGTTAAGTATAAAGTTATTTCATTTACTATTAAAAAGGCTGTAAACAACATTTTAAAATTCACATTTGAATTATTTACGTCCAATTTCAATGTCATTGATGAATTTCATCTTGTCATTTAAAACAACCAAATATATCTTGTTCAGACCAGGCGGATCTAAAAGACCATAAGCATTGCTGTTCATTCTGCAAATTAGTTAGGTATCATGCTATAAACCGGATATGATCTTACTTGAAAAATGAAAGGTGTAACTTTAACATCCAAATTTTATTTACAAAACAACAACAACAAAATAAATGATGTAGTTGAGTACCAACACATTTGTGAGTAACATGAGGAATTTAAATCATAAATGACATGTATTTGCATTATACTAGGAAGGGTAAGATAAAAAGGATATTGCGGCTGAAAAGCAATTAATAGTTGAAGATAGTATAAAAGTATTGAATTTAAGATTTCGCTTGGTACAATAAATAATGCGTACTTAATTTTTTCTTTTTTTTTAAAGAATAATTTGCATATTGAGGGTACAAGTAATAGAGAAAGACAAGTTGACCCAACATGTTATTACATAGATGGTGAGTACATATTGAAAATTTGACATATATTTTCAACAGAAATATTCATATTTTGTCAAGTTGTATTATTATTTAATCGATTCCTATAATAATAACTAATAGAGCAAGTTATTTTTTACTTTTGTAAGTCTGTTGTTTCCTTAGCTTTTGTAATGTTACTATAATGATGCCTGTAATGAAATATTGGCGAAGCGATGAAAGTAAACTATCTATAATTATTTAAACAGTATACTTTTTAATGTAAAGATATATGAGCAGCTTCAATTTCAAGCTTTTAATCAAATAAAAACTTAATAGTGTTACATGTCTGAGCTGTCAATTTTGCAAAGAACACTGTGACTAGAATTTCTATCCTTTTTAATTCTACGATAGTTCATCATTAAATTATGCATTAGGAGGTAGGTAGAAAATGTATATTAAGTTGCAAATATTTCAGGCGCTGGAAGTACTGCGATTATGACAAGGAATAGAAATAGTCATGATATGAATCAACAACAAAGTGAAGGACAAAATGGGAATGAATTTGCAAATTTTCTGTTTAACCTAACAGAGTTTGAAAGCTTTATTCCAGCGTACTTATCAAACAGAGATGTTAGAGCTAGAACCTTCCGAAATCCCCGATATCCCCGATGGCCACACGAATATCTTTCCCCGGACGAAATGGCGGATGCCGGCTTGTATTTTACAGGTACATGTATATCTATGGTTTAAGCATTTGTCACCAGAAACAATCTGTTATAATCAGAGATATTATTATTTCATACCCAATGAAATTTCAGCATTTGCATCTCGTGATGTCCCAATACAAATCATTATTGGATCCAATCTTTAGCCTGGTTTCTGTTTCCAAAGAGGTCATATGCAATCCATATCATACAGCATATAGCCTCGTTTTCATTTATAGAGTCAAATATATGCATATCAAATGTATATCATAATCCATTTAGCCTCGCTCCAAAAAGTCCATATAGAATTCTTATCACACCCTTTATAGCCTCGTTTTTATTTTCGGAGTCCAAAATATCTATATCGAATGTATATCGTATTCCAAATAACCTCGTTTTCATTTTGAGAGTTAGAATAGCCATATCTTGCATATCAGACTGGCGTTTCCGTGAGTTTTACCCATGCCGGAAATTTCATCTGGCATGTGGGGTGCCAGATGAGTCGCGTGCTGTACAATGGCACGCCTAGGATGACGTCATTTTAACGTTATGAATGAAGTTGTAATTCATACGCTGTTGTTAGAAAGTAGTTACGGTTTAAATGATATAAATTTCCCTTGAAATTATATAAAGAATTTTAAAATGTAATAGAATATGGTAGAATATGCAAGAAAAAATATCTGACATATGTTTGCGGTTCGGATCGGAATATCCATCCCTCGGTCACCCGCCCATGGGCGGTAACTCGGATATTCCGATCCGAACCGCAAAATATGACAGATATTATTTATATAAATTATTGTGATTCAAGTAGTACGGTTCTCTCAAAATGTCAAAGAAATGAGGGTGTGAAAACAGAAATATTTATATATTTATGAGAATAATACTGATTCTAATTGACTCGTTCATAGCCACAAAACCTATATTATTCTCGGCTATCGACTAGTCCAATATAGTTCTGGCAGCTGTGCAGTCGTCCAATAGAATTCAGCAATGTACTCAAAAAGTTATGATTTATTTTATCAATTAGATGGTGGATTGAATTAAGAAAGATGACAACAATTGGAATTTTATTTAATATTAGTGTTTTATAATTATGTTGAAATCATTCATTTATGTGCGAAAAAGATATACGAGACAAAATTACGTTTGATAATTATTAATTCATACAAAGAAAGTCCAAATTCTTTATTTTTCTATAAATTCCTTTTATTATTATTCTATAAATTCCTTTTATTTGTTCAATTATGTAGGAACTGGAGATAAAACTGCATGTTTCTTCTGTCGAAAATGCATGGAGAATTGGGAACCAGGTGAGTTGTTATCTAAATTGCTTAATTATACCCCCGCACAACGAAGTTGTAAGGGGTGTATACTGGAATCAGCATGTCCGTCTCCCCGTCCGTCCGTCGGTTTTTCCTTGTCCGCCCAATAACTTGAGATTCCTTTGACCCAAAGTCTTCATATTTGGCATGTAGGTTAGTCATGATTAGAAGATGAACCATATTGATTTTGAGGTCACTGGGTCAAAGTTCAAGGTCACAGGGGCATTGACTTTAAAAAGCTTGTCTGCCCAATAACTTGAGATTCCTTTGGCCAACATTCTTCATATTTAGCATGGAGGTTAGTCATAATTAGTAGATGACCCCTATAGATTTTGAGGTCACTGGATCAAAAGTCAAGGTCACAGGGGCCTTGACTAAAAAAAAACCTTGTCCGCCCAATAACTTGAGATTCCTTTGATCCACAGTCTTCAAATTTGGCATGGAGGTTAGTCATAATTAGTACATGACCCCTATTGATTTTGAGGTCACTGGGTCAAAGGTCAAGGTCACAGGGACCTTGACTTAAAAAAGCTTGTCCGCCCAATAACTTGAGATTCCTTTGACCCACAGTCTTCATATTTGGCATGGAGGTTAGTCATGATTAGTAGATGACTCCTATTGATTTTGAGGTCACTGGGTCAAAGGTCAAGGTCACAGGGGCCTTGACTAAATAAAAGCTTGTCCGCCCAATAACTTGAGATTCCTTTGACCCACAGTCTTCATATTTGGCATGGAGGTTAGTCATGATTAGTACATGACCCCTATTGATTTTGAGGTCACTGGGTCAAAGTTCAAGGTCACAGGGGCTATGACTAAATTAAAGCTTGTCCGCCCAATAACTTGAGATTATTTTGACCCAGTCTTCATATTTGGCATGGAGGTTAGTCATGATTACTAAATGACCCTTATTGATTTTGAGGTCACTGGGTCAAAGTTCAAGTTCACAGGGGCCTTGACTAAAAAAACTTGATTTTAAAATTTTCACATTTGAAGCATGGAGAATACATATCTTACCAATGCACTGGCTTAGTAACCTCAGATTTGGCAGGGTGGTTGTCCTTGAGCTCTAAATGGCCACTGTTGATTCTGACAAAGTGGTATGCGGGGGTATTCACGCCATGACAGTGGCAGTTCTAGTTTTATTACATGTATGCCACTCACCAGATTTCAAGATGATACTAATTACATTAGAAATCATTGAGTAAATAGGCATTTGTAAAGCTGTAAAAATGTGCGGTTTTGCTCTGTTTGCTCACATTGTTTGCTCTGTTTGGTTATTTAATCCTGACATAAGTGGGGAAACAAATCATCCCTAAAATTATGTATATAAGTGCCTATTATTATTATTATATTCCTGCTGAGCTTTTGCAGGTCGGTACATTCATAACCATTGGGTCCTAAATGTATTTTATGCATCCTTATGTAACTCGTCGATTTAACTATTCATCAATTTCATCACGCTTCAATGAATTTGAAACAAAATCCTCTCTGGTACATAACGCCAAATTATTTTTAATCATGTGAAAACTATATAGGTAAACATTTTTATTGCCTTTCAAATTTTCATAAATTTAATACACAAGTAGAGAAAAAAACGGTTAGTTACCTGGCACCAACGACCATAACCTTTCCCAATTGACATGATTTTGCTTTTTATGCTAACAATTTCTAGTATTAAGATGAAAAATATCCTTTTCATCTTGATTTATAATGCTCTCGCTGAAATTGTCATCTTATCAATAGATGTAAGATACTTTATGTCTTCTTCTTATTCCGAAAGGATGCAAGTCAGTACATTTGATTTTTTAATATGTGAAAATATTTTTCTAAATTTGAGAACTACAACATATTGAACAATGTTTTTTTTTAATAAACACACAAAGCACTTTCAGACTAATTATAAAATCGACATGCCTTATTTTTTGTCAAATACCAATTTATTTGTTTGCTTGATAAAAGTATTAAAGTGATTCAAAATGTTAAATGTTAATTTTTCAAAAATACGTAATATTGTTACGATACGGTCCAGCTATATGGTACCAGGCCCCTTTAATCTGCTTAAAAATGTGGTAACGTGCTCAAGACTTGGTTACCAATAATCGTACTGGACTGTAGAGAACGATATTGTATTTACGAACAATGAAACAATCACAAATATAACAATGTTCTGTATAAAATAGAAATTGTTAGGGTTAGAGGGACTGATGATACTAGTTTCGAATGACTGTCAAAGTCTATAGATCCATTTAGCTGAAATATGCTATAATGACGTCTGCCAATAGTGGTCTACTCTGTATAACTCTGTATGGCTAGGACACTGTACTCCACAGTACTTGATAATATTTCCTTACTGCTGGAGGTATGCCAGTTTAAGATGAAAATTGAGTCACAAAAAAGAAAGACTGTTCACAGTTTACTAATTTTAATTAGTGGTAAACTGTAAATATTCAAATAACAGTAGTGTAAATAACATCAACACATGTATATAATTCAGTCCTAAATATCCCGTAGCTATATATATCTTATATAGACTTCACGTAAATTAATACCGCGACTGCCGTTTAATTTCTATTCAAAATGTGGAAACGTAAATATAAAGTTTGGTCGAGTCAGTGACCGTATTAATGTGAAATAAAAATGATAAAGTTCTTATCAATTATTCTTAGACAATAATTGATTAAATGTAAAATAATAATCTAAAGACTATGTTTTATTTTGCCTTAAAAATAAGTAAAATTTGCCGTTCAGAAGAACACGACAATAATGTAGACTAACCGAAAGTTAAATGAAAACTGACTGAAGTTGAACGTTTTCTGGCCTATTTATACCAAATCTGAGAAAACGAACATAAAAAGGTTCGAAAAATGTTCAACTGTACGTTTTGGTCGGTTGACAATGTTCGACGTTCGAAAACTGAACATTTGACGTTCGGAAACGATCAATTCCATACACAAAGAACGCTGTCAACCAACCGAACGTCCGAACATCAACAATTCTTGGCTAAAGTTCTATGAAAGTTTACATAAAAATATGATAAATTGATACATATAATATTTATAAAAATGACTAGTACCATGGATTGACTATAAGTTTGTTGCTTTTGATGAAACATAACTTTGAAACAGTTTGTTTACTGAGCTTAGGCAGCAATTGCTATTGACAACGGAAGTCACACAACCCATAATGCATCAGCGAACAACAACAACACCTGTCAAAGATCATCGAGTAAAATTACGATAAATGCTACTTTCTAGCTAAATGTACGCTGATTATAAGAAAATATGTAAATAATTAGTGAAATAAATCATTACTCTTTATAATTCTGACATTATTTATAGTTGTCAGTCTCCAAAATTAACACAAGAAGCGTTTATCGGTACATGTAAAATGTAAACAATGCCGATAATGACATACGACCTTAGTATATAAGTGAGATTATATCATTATTTATTGCATATGTAACGAGTTAGCTGCCAGGTGGGGCGACATCGAGGGATATTTCTGCTACCTACAAAAATGTCGAGGCCAAACGAATTATTTTGCAGACAATTACTTTCTTCAGTGTTTTTTCCTCTCTTGTGCCCTTTCCATTTTGTTTCAAATGTAACCCCCCCCCGCCCCTAAAAAAAGAACAAAAACAAACTAATACCAGCTAATGATGCCGTGAATACCTTACAGCTAGATATTATAATTAAGTAAGATACGTGCCTACAGTGGGTGAATACAGTTGTACCCTTTTCAGTTTTTGGACTTATAAAGTAATATTCATTTCGCTGGTAATAACTATTTTAGTGGATGTACCCTTCAATTTTGATTTAAGGCCTTGTAAAATTTATTATTTAATTCGTAATATTTTGCAAGTTTTAAAACATGCCTATAACAGAACTGTTGGAATCAGTTTCATTTTGTTAATCTATGTTTTCGCTACCGGGTATGTGTGTTACAACTGCCGGATTCCAACCTCTGTAAAAAAAATAAAAGCAGTCTACTGTTATATATCAGTTGAGATTTTTCATGTATGAATCAAAGAAAAAATCAGCACTGTCATATATTTTGATACAGTTTTCAAATTTTCATTGAAGTTGTACTGAATATAAAGGATAAGAAAGAACAAAGAAAAATTCCAAACGAATTGTCGAACATTATAAGGAGACCATATGAGTATGTTTAACCACTGTATCGATGTGAAATTTCAAATTTCATTTTCCGTCAGGTTGTTCTGTTTACTGGTCGGACATGAATAAGGTAAAGGGATGTTGTAGTTGTAGAAGTAGTAGTAGCACAAATAAAGATGGAGAAGACTTAGAACTACTTACTTCATATGACAGACTAACTTGAAATGTTTGAATATGAAGATGTTTACAAGCATATGCAAACATTTCTTGTCAATAGCAGCCCATCTTCTCAGCACTTTTAACTTAAGGGCAACTGACACAACAAGGTTATTTGCGAAGAATATTAAAATGATTGTTGTTTATTTAAATTGTACCATACTGTGATATATTGTGCTATACCATAAAAAAAGAACTGAAGGCTGTACTGATATGTCATAGAAAAGGTAAAAATTGAAATTTAACGAACATACGAAACATCAAAACTGAAGCAGTTACATGCTCTTTTGATTGAACCTGTTCATGACGGTAGAGGTGTTAAAAATAATATTTAAATCCTTATTTTCTACATTCCTTAAGTTTCTAAGCGAATTATAAGGTACAATCTGAGGAAAGAGTCCGAACCTGTGCTTTGTTTTGTTTTAAGATGTAATGTAATGTTAATTTAATTTTATGCAAGTATTGAATGAGAAAGAAGAATGATTGTAATTTTCTTTATATGGGAGCGCTTATACATGTATATTCTGCCTTGTATATCTAACCATAATCAATTTGCTGCACCAAAATTTTCTTTTCTATCTCTTTTTTTTTTCAGTAATCAGAAATTAAGGTAAAATGCATGCTGTTTGCATGAAGTTTTAGTTAATTATACGTATT